ATATATATATGTGTGTGTGTGTGTGTGTGTGGGTGTGTGTGTGTGTGTTAATTTTGTATTTTTCCCTCTACGCTTCCTTGACAATTATGCTGTAAGAATTAAGGTAAACACATAAAGTTTTAACTTACTGGAAATTGTCAACAAAAGCGTATTAATATTATTTATCACACAAAGTGACGTTTTGAATTTCTAGTCACAATCCACTGTCCTTGGAGATCCAATTAGGTGCGATAAATAAATTGTTTTATCTGAGAAAACGTTTAACTTAGGCCTATGTATCTAATTATAGGTTGAACCTTTTTTACCTTAGAGAAAACTTTGTGAGTGAAACCTAAATGACCTCGGCAAAACTATTTTGTAATAATAACACGTACACCATTATATTTATTTCCCAAATAGTGCTGTTTAAATGAAACGGTTTAATCTCGAAATAATCTGCCTCTATTGTTTGGTATTCAAAACGGCTTTTTTCATGTAATCATTAATACGTATTTATAACGTAATTTCTGACTAAAAAATGTTTTAGTTATGTACGGGGTATCTAACATCAGGCTTCGGCTACCCTCGAAATAATCTGCCTCTACGATTTGGTATTCAAAACGATTTTTTTATGTAACCATAAATACGTATATTTAACGAAATTTATTATTTGATTATGTTGCAAACATTGCTGCAACTAACGTTATTTTCTGACATAAGGGAGTTTTCGCTAGCTTACGAAAACGATAATGAATACAGTTACGTCATCAACTTTTTAGACAACTCTTCCCCTACCGTAGCATATTTGTCACAAAGCATGCGATTCACGCCTTTTTCATGAATCAAGGATCATATTCAGCTCATACAGCATATTGTCAAGAATGTTTTAAGCACGAATGACGATAATGATAATGACGTATTCGTATTCGTTATCGTTTTCGTAAGGTAGCAAAATCTTGCAATAGCCTAACCACAACGATTACAATGTTCACGAAGGTCATAAAGCTTTTGTGTTTGCTGTCATCCTCTAATCCTAATACAGTAGTTGTTTTCCTTATATTTTTATACAGGGGACTAGATGTCAATACACATACGGGTTCTTTCTACAGCCACTATAATGGCTTCTCTGCTAGAGAACAGAAGGAACGGTACGTGAAATAAATTCTTACGTTGCTTTCTCAATCCCTAAAGTTTAATTTATTGCCTTTACATACCGTGGTCAGTTATATTTTAAAATATTGCATAAGCCTCAAGTTATAACTTTTATTAATAATTAAAATTGGAAAGATAGATAAAAATAGTAGTAATTATAATCGTAACTTCGTTTTCTGAGTTCAATTTCATTGTTCTTTTGTCGTGATATGTTTCCTTTAATCTCGTTCCACCATTTCAGTTTTCATCCTAGGCACGAGGTAATTTATTTCAATTTTATTTCTACATTCTATTCTCTCCATACTGCAGGCATGAATTGTACGGCGCAAATAAAATAAATGTGGAGCTAAGACCTATTCCCGTTTTGTTTGTCCAAGAGGTGAGTAGAACCATTATTAACTAGGCCTAGTTATGCAGCAATCCATAACTCGTTTAACAGAGTCAAGGAAATAGATTCTCAGTGAAAGAGAGAAGTCGTAGGCTCGCAGTCAGGAGTTGACTACAATTTTACATCGTAACGACCAAGTCTTAATAATAATAATAATAACAATAACAATAACTACAACAGCTGTTATATTTCACCTGCCACTTACTCTAGTTAAACTGATTGCAATCTGTACGTAAAAGACATGTGATATCGTCAGTAAATTATTTGGGAGTTGAGTTTCGAACACAAATTAGTCTAAGCATGAATTTTACTGTACACTCGCATTATTTTATAGTTTTTGGATACTAAAGAAGATATTTTCTAGTGTGCTTTCTTCATGTTTGTTTATTATTAAAAAATGTTGTATTAGGCCTAACATAAACATAATACAAATATATTTTACTTCAATTTACAGGCGTTAAACCCGTTTTACGTATTCCAAGTATTTAGCGTCTGTTTATGGATTTTTGCCTACAACTATATATATTTCTCAGTTGCTATTCTTATGATGTCACTGGTATCGATTTCGTTGACAGTTTATAGTACCAGGAAGGTGAGGCTAAGGTTACCTGTAAATAATGTTAATCAAAGTCGTCATAGTTTTTAGATGTTTTACAGTTTTCAAATGTTGTCACAGAAGAGCTTTAATTATTGAATTATAACTGCAGACACAAATATTTTCATTGCTATATGAATGTACATAACCATCACATTTATACATTCTCGGACCGATGACGTCGGACCTTCGTCGGGTGGTGGGGCTGTCTGGGTGCTGGTGGTCTTCCCTCGAACAACATCCAACGACAGGGAGGACGGCTAGCATTCGGCTGGCTGCGTTACCTGGCGGGGGCCCGGTGGCGTCGGCTCGGGGCGTTGCTGGGTGGGTTAGCGTCATCGTTTGCTTTGCACGACTTTTCAAACCAGTCATTCTTGTTTTGTTTGTAGTTTATTTTAAGTGTTTAATTTGATTGGTGGGTGGGCAATAATGTTATTTGAGTTATCTGTAAATCTCTCATAATTAAGAATTTTATTTATTTTTTTTTTATTTCTGTTGCTTTGTTCTTTTCTGGATGCACCGTTAGAAATTGTCTAACGTGTGCCACTGTTATAAAAGTGTTATCCAATAAATATTGTATTGTATTGTACAGCAAAGTAAAGATCTAAGGGAAATGGTAAAGTCGTCTTCAACCGTTACCGTTTGCCGAGGTGGGACACAGTTTGAGAATGTTGAAGAAAGTAATTTGGTTCCCGGTGATGTTATTGAGCTACCGATTCGCGGATGCAAAATGAGTTGTGACGCTGTCCTAATTGGTGGAACCTGTATCATGAATGAGAGTATGCTAACAGGTAAGGCTATCTTTCAAGTGAGGCATTTTTGAAATGTAGGATACATAATAAAGATCATTACCAGATATAATATTATATGTTTTTCATTGAACGATTGATTTATAGACTGATTGACTGAATGAATGACTGCCTTACGAACTGACTGACTGACTGATAGACGACTGACTGACTGACTGTTTGATTGAATAAATGGGTGACTGAATGTTTGGTATTTTGATTAATTGATTGATTGAATCATTTATTTTTGGCTGATTGATTAATATATATATATATATATATATATATATATATATTAATGTATATATACACATATACATATACATATACATTTATATATATATATATATATATATATATATATATATATATATTGATTTATTGATTTTGCTGATAGGTTTTCTGAGTACTGACTGATGTTATATGATTGATGATTAAATTGAATTTATTGATTGTGTAATTTATTCATTTGTTGAATGAAGGTGAATCGGTACCAGTCATCAAAACAAATCTGCCTGTTGACCGTGACGTACCTCCAGAGAAAAGTCCCATCTATAGTTCAGAGGTACACAAAAGACATACATTATTCTGTGGTACCGAGCTCCTACAGGCAAGGCGTAGCGGACGTGATAAGCTACTTGCTGTTGTAGTACGAACAGGTAAAATACTACTACTACTACTACTACTACTACTACTACTACTACTACTACTACTACTACTACTACTACTACTACTACTACTACTACTACTACTAATAATAATAATAATAATAACAATAATAATAATGACATTTATAAGGCGCTGGTATCCGCAAGGTGCTCTTATGGTGCCAAACAAGATTGAAATTGTTTTATTTCATGGCAACACAAATAGGTTATACATAAAACACAATAAATAACAATAAAACACACGATTATATACCGGGTATAGAAAACAATAAACAACAATGAAAAATACGATACGTTGATTGGGCCAGGTATTCGCATGTGTTGTCTCAGAGACAGACCAGATTAACAAAATAAAATTAATTTTAATTTTTCGATGATATTATAATTAAAAATGCATTCTGAAAAAAAAAATGAAAGTCGATATCGTGTTGTTCTTATTCTAGAGGGTACCGTTAATCTACCAGTTAATTTAGACCTAAGCTTAGTGAATGCATTATCATCTTTCATAATTGCCATCCTTTTCTGTTCAATACGATTGTAATACTGTTCTTATAACGCTAGGCATCAAGTTATTTCGGGTAATGCATTTTTAATTCTTTTGACAACACCTTCAAATTGATTTTTACTATATTCAGGGAGATATTTCCTACTATATTCAAACGTGTTGCCATAGTAGAAAATTTAATTAAACATCAGAACACTTATTTATTTATTTGTATATTTTCATTTGCACTAACATTTTGAAAACGTCTAATGTTACTAATAATGATAATGATGATGATGACGATAATAATGATGATCGATGACGATGATGATGATAATGATGATGATAAGGATGGTGGTGGTGGTGGTGGTGCAGATGATGATTATGATTATTATAATGCCGAGTGATATAATCAATAATATTATAAAAGTTTCCTATGAACTAGTCGAAAATTAGAGCACGTATGAGTTAATATTGCATGAGTTATTTTCTCTCGTACTTTTGAGTAACTGAACAGTTTGACTATATATTTTTTTAAGAATATTAAAATACTAAAAAATACAAAATTGCTACCTAGCTGTATTCCACTGTTTGATATATGTTATTCTACGGTCGGTGACCCATGAGACACAACTTATGTTTGGGTCGTGGACGAACTTTTGAGGGTCGTCAGATCGCATCCTGTTCTAAAAAAGATTTTATGAGTGTTGGTACTACACAAATCAAAGGATCCATGTGAAAACATAAAACCAAAACTTGTTATAAAATCACTATTTCCAGCGGCTTAGCGAGTTGGTGACGGGCTCCAGTTCAAGATAATTGCTGGACTGGACCCTAAAAGCACCTGATATGACCCAGAGACAGAACCTTGGTGGGGTCTCTTGATGCATAACATTGCATTTTAAAACGAATACGACAATGTAAAGAGCATAAATATCTATAGAATATTCGAAAATATATTCAAGGATATTGAGAACAATATATAGTCATGTCATATATATTGTATCTTTAATGCTGGAAATTTTTAGGAGTCTCTGTTAAAGTAAGCCTATACAGTAATATTGACATTTTAAAATCTTTGCGGTCATTTTAAAATCTACCACGTAGGTAGTTCTCAAAAGAACTGTTGTTTTGTTTCTATTGATATTATTCTTCTGATGACGATTGAAGCAACTCAATCGAACGTCGAAATTTTCTTAACAAAACAACTTTTCGGAACTATCTAGGTTAAGTGATGTACCGCAAGCATTTAATATATTATTATAAATCTATAATTATGGTCTTTAAAACCTAATAGGCCTATTATTGAGGGAAAGTTTAAGTAGGAATTTAAAAGAAGTTATATTTTTAAATCAATATGCCTATTGAACGGTCCCCCAATAGCCCCGGTCCCCAGTGCTTTGCACTGGCTGCACTGCCTATACATACGCCACTATTTCTTCAAATTTGTATTAGGCCCAATAAAAAAAAATGTATTAGTTTATCACCCTCGCGCGCATGCCTTCAATGGTACTGGGGAAAAGAAAAACTTTTTTGAAAAAAATTTGTTTTGAAAAAAAAAATTTTTTGGAAATTTTTATTTCATTTTATTTTATTTATTTATTTTTTTCATTTATTTTATTAAATAGTTAGTAGATATTGTTTGCATTATCTAAATCATGTTTTACTTTGAATATCAATGCACCAGCAAACAAACCAAGGGTGATATTTGGCTTTAGCAAAATAAAAAATTAAAAAAAAGCCTCCCTCCCTCTCTCATCACTTTTCCTGCCCAGATAGGGTGATAAACTAATAATATTTTTTTAGTGCCTTAAATTGTTTTAATCTGTTATGAACCGATAAGACTGATAAAACTTCCCTGTGCATGGTGGTGTACAAGTAGGTATCGTCATTGTCACTCTGTCATTGTCAGCACTAAAGCAATTAATACATCACCGCAAGGTTTTTTTTTTTACCAACATTATTGTTATTGAACATCCTAGCCCGTTTTTGTGTCTACTAACCAAGTAGACACATTGCTATCGTCTGGCAATTGACCTTGCAAGAGTAAATCCGGTGGAGGAATGATAGGATGGGTTATAAGCTAAAGATAAAAATAAAAAGTAAGTTTACGAATGATGCCTTGCTAGATAAGACCTGTACTAGTTAAGTTATTCAAATGAATTGCAACACAGAAAGTTGCTAGATGAGGCCTGTTCATAGAAAGTTCACTAAAAAGTCAACACTCTGGTAATAGTTGTAGAGATATTCAAGTAAATTTCCCACCAAAGCGCGCTGAGTTAAAAGCAAAAAAAAAAAAAAAAAAAAAAAAAAAAAAAAAAAAAAAATTAAAAAACTATACCAAGCAGTAGACACATGTACGCTCCTGCTGGGAGCCTATATCTATATGCAGTACTCATCAGCTGCATTTTCCCCAAACGTTTTTCCATTAAGAAGTGTGCCACTGATGAAAAAAGTGTAGTTCCAAATAAAGGTATTATTATAGTATTAGTAAACATGCTAATATTTTCATAAATAGGGCAAATATGAATTATGGGCAAGAAGGAGAATTTGATGTCTACGTAAAACTTAACAAAATAATAAAAAAAAACACAGAGATTATTAAAAGTAAAGATTTGATGATGATGATGATGATGTTAAAACCAATTGTACTCTAATTGCAAGGTTATTGATGCCATTCTCCACAAAATTACGAGATACTACACAATATTTCGATATAATGTTGTATAGCTGGTTTTTGATACGATATTTCTAAAGGGTGGGGTAACTGGAGACAATTTATTTTGGGTCCCAGGGCCAGGGCGTAAAATGTTGCCGATCGTAGTGTTATATGTTATATGCAAAATTCTTCCAGGTTTTTCAACAAGCAAGGGTGCATTGGTACAAGCTATTCTCTATCCCCGACCAATGGACTTTAAGTTATTTCGTGACGCAATTCGGTTCATATGTGTTCTTGCCTGTCTTGGTAAGTCAATACGAATTAAATTTGTATAATACGTGTCGGCGGTTTGTTGTATAATGTGCCTTGTATAATGTTATAAGTAATGTCTTGTGTATTCTGTGCCATCCATAAAGTGGGTGAAGCAAAGCAACAATTACCAACATGTTTCATTCAAAAGATAATTAAGAGCAAACACAATAAATTTCTTCTTTTCTAAAATGTCCACAGCATTCATTGGCGCAATTTACGTCATAACCATTAAAATAGTACACGAGGTAAGAATAACCAACACTTAATTTTATGCGTATGTTCGTAATTGGAATTGGTATAATAATAATAATGCTGACCGACCGACTGTGATTTCTGAATGTACTTGTCACTGTGTTTCCTCAACAAAAATAATTTTTTTAAAGAAATTACTAGATGTAAACATTAGTGTGCAATAAGACGATATTATACCGTATGCTTATTTGCTATTAATACCTATAGAACTCAGTGAAGGAAATCATAATAAAGGCTCTAGATGTATTCACGATTGCCGTTCCACCCGCCTTGCCAGCCGCATTAACAATCGGTATGGTGTACGCTCAGCGCAGGCTAAAGGCTCTCGGAATCTTCTGCATCAGCCCTCAGAGAATAAACATTAGTGGGATGCTGAATGTCGTCTGTTTCGATAAGGTAGGCATCGATTTTCTCCAGAGGGCGTGACCTGTTCAATTATTTCTACTTAAAAGTAATGTTTGCCTTAGTTAAACGTTGTATTGCTGAAATCTGTCTGCTTAGAAAAGGTAGGTATTGATTTTCTCCAGATTATTTACGATGAAAACATATTTACGCGAAAACTTGTATTTGCCTTTGTGTTTTCTTAACCTTTCGATCGCATTAGAAATAAATGTTAGAAATACCTTACTCGTACTGTTAGTCAATAATCATACGGCTCAAGCTGTAATCCTACAAATGGCAATGCTAGATACCGTAATAATTATAGTTATAATATATTTTTAGATACTTGATGAAGTCTCATTTTGATCCTATTTTAACTCATTAAAAACGTAATTGTTTTGAAGATTTGTGTCTCATAATTGAAATTGATAACATTTCTAATCCATTTAAATTAGTAATTCAATGATTTAATTAACTATTTGTGGGTCTTCAAGATTTTATTACAGATTCAATCTAAGCAATAGTGTCGAGAATCTGTGCTTTTTAAAGTTTTGATGACGATGGAACGTTGAGGGCGTTTGCCGATACTGAGACACCGTGTCCGTTTAGTAAATTTTATTAGATTTCAAATTCAACTTACAATATTTTCCAGACTGGCACTTTAACCGAAGATCACCTTGAATTATTTGGCGTCTCACCCGTAAAGACAGAAATGTGAGTTAAAAATTGACATCGATTTTGTGTTTAATTGATGTTAATATGCATGTTGCTATGACAATCACACGGTTATTCACAACATTCGTACTTGTAATATATCGTGTCGTTTCATCTCTTGGTTTTTTTTGTCGAAATTGTGGGCTTAATGTACATAATGCAATCTAAATAACTGTATTGGTACACTGATGAAATATTCAGGAGCGATAGTTGGATCAATTAAAGCAGCAACTCATGAATATATTTGTTTATGCATGCTAGTACGTTTGTCTGTCGTTTTTCTTTCCGATGTGTGAATAGTCTATTGAACTATTTCCGAAGTTGCAGCGACGTGAAACCGGTCATCGATAACTCCAGGTTGGTATTTCGGATTAAGGTAAGCCTATCCCGGAAAGAGAGTAATTTACATATATTTACCGTCCCACTATTTCCCCGTCAAGGATCCTCGACTTCCTACTATGGTTGATGGTATACAACGCAATAAAAAAAATATGCCAACCCTTAAACATTTAAAAGTTAAACCAAGTACACAAATTGCCCCTTGGATATCATTGCTACCAAGGTCCCAGAAAATAACGTTAACACGTTTGAGTAGGAAAAAAAAGTATACCTGTCTCAGTTGTGATTGGTTTTCTGATATTTCCGTAAGACCAGAAACCGTTCCACTCCCCACGACTCATAATGAGATTTATTCTTTATATAAAGCATCTTGTATGTTTCTTGTAAAGGATTGCCACTAAAGTTATAGGTTCGCCATTGGCATACCACTGACCTCAAGCCTAAAAAGTAATGAACATCATTGTGTATATTTTATGTATGTGTACTGTAAACCAGTCGATAAATTTTACAATGTGTAGTCATCATTTAAGTTCAATTTACCCGTGTCACCGCTGTCCTACTTTCGCACCTGAATGCTATCCTTTGATGTTGTCCGCCATTATGTTTGCACCTGGAAGATAACAATTTTATTTTAGTTATTCTTATTTTTTAGTTTAAAGTGTATTAATTACAATCAGTCAAATATAGGCCTGCACAGCAACATTGATAATAAAAGGTAGTTATCATTTTAGAAACACGCTTACCACCGCACAGATTAGATTTTGTTTTAAATAAAATTTCTACATATTATGACAAAGCAGTGTTTTAATATTTTTCTGAAATACTAGCTCTCATATCAATTAATCGATTTTCATAAGTTGGTTAATGCAATTTATTTGCCATATCAAACAATTCGGATCTAGATAATATCCGGCTTTTTCGGGCTTTTTGAAAATATGTGTTTCACCATTTACAGAAACTTTAACATAATAAATTTAAAAAAAGAAAAGAAAATGGAATATAATTGGAAAGCCAGGTTGAATTATCACTCACCAGATAACACATTACTACATTTGACTATAGTTTTATGATGATTGAAGACGCCACAAGACTTCCATTTGGGCCTTTTGTCGTTGCTATGGCGACAAGTCACTCGTTAACAATGATTGACGGAGAACTACACGGTGATCCTCTAGACTTGCAGATGTTTCAAGCAATCCAGTGGGTAAGTGCCGCTTTTTGATAAATAATCTTCGAAATACTTGATCGATTAATGAAGCAATTGTAAAATTGTAAATCAATTTCCGTAATTGTTAAATACATTTCTTGAACGAGGAGGAATTAAATGCAGAATGATATACTAATCTCTTTTGTCACTACATAATAATAATAATAATAACGATTTTTATTTTTAAATTTTTAACAGGCGAACTTCGTTACCTCACCTTAATATTACGTAATTCTTTTAAAACGTTAAGAAAACAAATCTTGATGTTATATTAATATTTTGAAACTTCATTATCAATGCAAATGCTATAAAATTGAATATAATATGTGAAACATTGCAGATTCATTAAAAAAAAAGCGTCTTTATTATCTTTGCAACAAACATTAGAAATAAAAGCCTGTATACGTGAGTATAATGACTCTTTCTGGATTGCTAAATGCTGCGTTCATTAGAACTTGTGAAAACTGATTTCACAACTTGTAACAAGCGAGAACACGAGAAGAGTGCATTCATTTTACGAACGCTAAAATGGCATTATTTTTCCTATTCGGGATTTTGACAAGCGCCCTCACACGGATGTGCTCATTTGAGGACTAGCCTATGTAAAGAAAGCTCGAATCAGGACTCCGTAATGTGCATTCGGAACGTTACACAGCGCAAATCATGAGGTTGCAAATAAAACATACAAAAAACACTTTTTTTTCATCTGTAATAATATTACTTAAACAAATTGCAATAAATACATTTGCTCGTTTGTGTTACATCCGCCATTTTCCACACTACTTTTGCAAATCGAGGAAGAAAATTCTACTCGAGTTCAGAAGTTCACCGACCAGATGTACGCATTTCACAAGTTGTGAACTGGGAAACACCGACTCCACAAGTTCTAATGAACGCAGCATAACACTTAAAAACTGACCAATCAGAACAGGGCCAGAAGTAAGCACGTGTCCAACAAATGTTTTTATGTACTTTTTCCCTCTGGTTTTAACATAACTATAAAATAAACCATAACAACACTACCTCCAGTATACTTTATTTGTCGAGGTAAATAAATTAAAATATTTTTAATTGCGTGATGTATATTTTACTAACTTATTAGCTTTTAACTTAATAAAACAAATTCTAAAATTGCACAGGAGACATAAATATTATAGACACTTTAAATTGGATGATAATCAATTGAAGTATTTTTGTGGTAATCAATCATCAACACTAAATTCTTTTAAACCTGTATCCCACTGGCCGTTGTTGACAACATTTGCATTATAAATGTGCTATTGAAATAGAATATTCAGTTGAATTGATAGGATTCTGTTTATAATGTTTTCAGACGGTCTATGTCTTTTCATGTCATATATCTGAAATTTACAAGGCATTTACGGTGCTTGTTCAATACACTCGAGTCTAAAATTATACTTTGTCGCACCTTCACTACACATGCTACACAATCACACAATTCCAACGAGATTATTATATGATATTGGCATGAGGTATTATTTAACTCGTATTCACATTTCAGCATCTCGAAGACGCCTCAGAAGACGACGATACTGGATTTTCCATCCCCGTCCACACGATTGTCCGACCACCAGCTCATCAGCTAAATGGTAGTGTTACCCCATGGGAAAAAGATGTACGAAATATTATATTACGTTAAGCCATTTGATTATTAATATTATTATATCTTACTATAATTATAATGATGATGAAATGTTCCATGAAGGTAATATAAATATAACCTATTATGCCGTGATAATAGAAATAAGTTAATGACTATGATGATGATGATAATGATAACGATGATGGCGATGATGTTGCTGCTGCGGCTGATAATGATGACGATGATTATGATAATGAAGATTATGTTGATGATTATGGTGGTGATGATGATGATTATAATGATAATGAATACGTCGATAAAGATGATAACCAATAATTTTGACGATAGATAATTTTCATCTTTATTAATGTTTGCAAATGTATATCCCGGTCTGTCGTTTTGCAGGGAATTAAAGAGATCGGAATTATTCGCCAATACCCGTTTGCGTCGGATCTTCAGCGAATGAGTGTTATAACTCAAAAGGCTGGTTCTCCTGATATGGAAGTGTATGTGAAGGGTTCTCCGGAAATGGTTGCTTCACTCAGCGATCCGAACACGGGTAAAGTACAAGTGACCCAAGATGATAAAAGGGCTGTAAACTCTTCCTAAGGCCAAAATGAGGTTTTGTTATAATGGTATAGAACATATCATTTACTTTAAAATGACATTTAAATGAACTCAATCGGGTGTCTGGAAGCAAAGTTATGACCGTTTGAATAATTATCAACTTATCAACTTTCTTAAATCAAGTTTTGAGAAAAATGCCTTTATTTTCGGCAAGTTTCTATTCATTTTTCACTAACTGCCATCCAAAAATGGCTAAATTTTATCTTTTACATTGCATTTGGAATTTAAAACTCAAACTTCGGGAATAGTAAGATTAATTATTTATTACTCCAAAACCCAATTCACACAAAATTCACGTTCTACCACCTATTCTGGCTATTGATTGAGGCATGTTTCTCAATACAGCGCTGTACGAGTTTACAGATCTTTTATGATTTTGGGTACAGTCTTTTCCTTACGTGAAGACGTTTAACTCGCACTGTTTAGCAGAAAGTGCTAGTTCCAACGTTTCAAAGTCATTTGCCTATATACCTTTCCTTTTATGATTGACACAGAAATATCAAAAGAAATGAAATAGATGTGTTTGCTTCTTCTGTATATAGTTCCTGAGGATTTTTATTCAGTGCTACGCGAGCACACTTATCATGGCCTGCGTGTTTTGGCATTGGCATGGAGACCATTAGGTGAAAGACTACCATGGGAAAAACTGCAGAATTTGCAAAGGTATGTCAGCTACAAATATGTATATATTAAATACATATATATATATATATATATATAAGTGAAAGGCAAATGGGAAACACCCATAAAAC